ATTCCAGTCCCAAGGCCGCAGAGGCCGGTCGGGCGTGGGTGGCTCTTCGCTGAAGGCAGGAGGAGGGCCGGGGCTGCAGCGGGTGGTGTTGCCCGGTAAGGGGATCCGTGTTGAATAAACAGCGTGTATTTTGCGCAGGTCTCTGGCGCTGTGTGTGGCGGGGCGGGCTCCTGGCAGCGCGCGGGCGGGGGGGAGAAGCGGAAGCCTTCGGGACGTGGCTCCGGCTCTGCCGCGTCCATAGCTACTGGTTGCGGGCAGGCCCGAGCCCCCGCATGGCCCGGGGGGACGGAGGTGTCAGCCGGGCCCCGGGGTGACCTCGGCCCGGGCCGAGCTCCCGCTGGAGCGGGCGCAGCGCCCCCCCACAGCCCCGCGCCTGCCCTCGTGCGCCCGGCCCGAGCGCTGCACGGAACCGAAGGGCCGGGGCTGGGCGGGGAAGGTGTTCGGTGTCGGACCCCGCCCGCCCCGGGCAGCAGGTGAGGCGCGCCCGGGCCCGGCGCGGAGGCTCCGGGCAAGGCGCCTGTGCCGGGTCTCGCGGTCTGTCTCTCTCGTGAAGGGGGCAGAAGGCAGAGCAGCGGCGGTGGCAGTGGCACGCAGGCGGCCGGGGGTTGTGTGGCTGGAGCTTTGCTCCCCGCCCCTTGGGACCTGGGCCTGAGGAGCCTGGACACGGGGAGTACTGGGGCACCTGGGAAAATGTGACCACTTGCTACCCTTTCCCAAAGTAAATGAAGTGAAGGAAGTGCGATTACTTGTGGGGGGGAGGAGGAGAAATATGTGCTACGTTTGTTGTGGGTTGGGAGGTCTCTGGACATTCGTCCACACTGGGGATCTTTTAATCTATCTGCTCATCACTGTACAAACACCTGGAGTGTGATACAGTGCGTCATTACACTTAAAAATAGAGCAGTAATAATGCTGTTTGAGTCCATCTCTTACGCAGCATCTTTTTATTCTGCTAAGTCAGCGCTGACCCTTGTCTTGTGACTCGGTAGTTATTGAAAGATGCTTGGCATTCAGTGCAAATCAGTCGCTTCGCGCAGCAGCCTCCCCTGGTCATGACGACAGTGCATGCTGGCTGTCAAAGGAGTGGAGTTTGTAGGATGGACAGCTGAAAGCTCGTCTCTCTGCCTCTCCTCAGTCACTAGCTGACAAGGGGACACACCAGTTCTGACCTTTTCCTCTCTTCCTATGCTTGGAAACGTTCCCCAACGGAAGGCTCTGGAATGAGCAGCTAGGTAGCAATCTTACCACTTCTCCCTGTACCCCACAAAACCTCTAGTCTGCATCCATCACCACAGCCAGCAGTTTTTAACATTTTTCATTCTCTACCCACCCCTTATGGAAAGGGCATAAGAGCTCACTTGCTGTTTTGTGTCTGTAGGGAATAAGGTTATGTAGCAGGATTCCAGAGCTGAAGGTCAGCCCAGCCAACTTTCCTAATGGAGGAGGTAAGAACTTGAAGTACCCTTCTCTGTGTCCTTTCACTTGAGCTGGTTAGTACAGCTAACACAGTTCTCTGCCATGCAATTGCAAGACTTCTGCCTGCTGCCCCTGTATTCCCCTTGCCTTTTTCCACCCTTTTCCCCACCACCCCTCCCCAGTGTCCTGTCAGGCTTTCTGGGACTGCTTTCTTCCAGGTCAGGCCTTTTTTTCCCCAAATCATGGAGTCACATTCTCTGACTGACAGTTGGTGCCCTCTAGATCCTGACTGATGCAGCAGTCAGAAACATTTCCCAAATTGCTCCAAAAGCCAAAGCTATGTTGTTCTGTGAATGTCTCTCAGCTTAAGATTTGTAGTTTTAAAGGGCTGCACTAACACTACATCCCTGTTTCACTCTGTTCCTTTTCTACTCCATCAGAAAATATATTTTACCCAAACTATTATTTTACCCATTGTTCTATTAGGGCCAACTTTATTCACTTGATGATAGTCTTTCAGACACTACTCCTTTGCTCCATAGCACAGGGAGCATCAGGTAGGAACAGCAAAAATCATGTTGAGAGGTTAAACATACAGACAGCTCATAATATCATGAAGAATTTCTAAGTTGACATAAACTGCCCAGATCATCAGAGTTGTATGCAAGGAGCTGCATTTCCTGACAGAAAAAAAAATCTTATTAAATTGAGGAATGGTTCCAAAAAGGAAATCCCATCACTTGGGACCTTTAAAACTAGAGAAGAAAAAAAAAACACTAGGAAAAAGTACTTTAAGAAATGGCTTGTCCTCACTGATAGTCAAGCAGCCAGTCTGTTTTCATAAATCTTTTCTTTCTCTAACCTCAAAGATGATGGGGCTGTACTGAATCAGATAAATCAGTGCCAGAACCTGTATTGAATCAGGTAAATCAGTGCCACAGCCCATGCTAATTTGCTTCTACATTGCTTTGCAGTGTAGTTTGAGCTACTGAACTTCATTCAGAGAATTTGAGGATAGAAGAAACTGTTAAATTATTATAGCCTGAACTCCTGCATAACGCAGGAGAGACAACTTTAGAATACACATTTCTTTGATGTAACATCCAAGAAGGCTGGGGATGATGGTGTGTGTATGCACACCCAGGCTTTCTAAAAGTGGTGTGTGCATCCCAATATCCCAGGCTCCTCAAGGGACATTTCAAGATGAGCTGGAATGGTGCATCTTACAGCTGGAGATGGGCCTCCTTCGCCTCAACCCAACTCCAAAACAAGGTATGTGGCTTCTCTTAGGATCTGCCATTCAATCCTAAACTTTCTTCTGGCTCAGTAAATCCAAAAGCCTTTTTTGGTTCTCAGCACCCTTCTGCCTTCTCTTCTTGTTAGCTTGTAATTAGGTTCATCCTACATTGGACCTTAGGACAGTGATTCTCAGTTAATGTGCCATGAAATCCTGTCAAGGGTACCATGTAATTGTAACACTGTTAGATGCACATGTTGGGTGTGCAAACATGATTCACAAGATAAACCCAGAGATTTCAAGTAGGAACCCATAATGTTCTGACCTGTTGTGGTCTTTTTGAGTTCTTCACGACAGAAGGATTGTTCTATTATTTTTGTGCAGTCAAAAATGAGTGGAAACAGCTGGTATTTTCAAGTGGTGCCTTGAGTCTACAGAAGTTGGGAGCCACTGCCTTAAGGCTCACTTAACTAATTAATGGGATGCTATATTCTGTTCCACTTCGAATTCCTTCTGCCTAAGCACCTGTACCATTTACTTCTATGATCTTGAGTTTCCCCCTTCTTCTGCTTTGTTTCTGCTGTCCTTATTTTCTTTTTAGTCTCTGCCTTATTCTTTCTAGGCCTGCTTGCATAGTGTACTTTTAGTTCAGATTTGCTATAGTCCCACAGTCTCAAATAAGTACCGAGAGTGCATCAAGCACGATCAAGCCTGTAAATGTTTGTAGCCTTATTTCTTTAAGCACATTTATCGTTCCTGAAGAAGAAAATTCACAGAAGAATCTTGATTTCTTATTAAAATACTGCCTTCAACTGTACTGAGGGACTTATAAAGGGAATTACATTTTTTCCATACAATTTCAGCTCATCCTCATGGCCCCTTCCTGTAGTGACCAATACTGAATGCTGCAAGGGAAGGTGCAACCTTCACTGCAGTGCATCTGGCTGAGTGTTATGCTATATATTGCCCAAACATTAGAGCATTTCTGTTTCTACCAGTTCATCAAACAGTGTCGTGTAGTTAGTGCCAGATACCAGGGTGATAGGTAGGATAGAAATAGGTACATAAGTGCTTAGGAATAGGTTTTGTACCAATACAACTTTGCATATCAGTTTGTAAAAGTACTGAAGATCCCTTTCAATAAACCAGTTCTGTATGTTCTGTGACTACTCAGTACCCCAATCAGTGACCATTCCAGTTCTTGTCCAGTTAAAATGGTGCTTTGAGCTTATCTGTAGAAAATAGAATCATTTTCCTCCTTCACTGTGCTTTATGGGGTCTTGTCATCCTGGTTTCTTGTGTCTGTGTTCATCTTTTTCTCGAGTTTAGCAGAGGAAACACAGCAGATCCTGAAGGTCCTACGCTCCCACAAGGCACCCTTTGTGAAGAAGCGACAGGTGATGAATCGTGTGTTTGGAGATTATCGACTTAAGATGGCTGAGGAGCAGAAAAGGGCAGAGAAAGCAGGTGAGGCCTGGCTTTACCTGGGATGTACAGTATATCCAGTTCTTTCTGTGGTGTCTATGCATTAACAAATAGCCTTTCATGAGGGCTTTCTTCCAAATACTTCCCATGAAGCCATCAACCTTCTTCCCTTCAAGTCCTGTTGTTCATGGGGCAACCAAAAGCCTTTAAAGCAGAATGGGTTTTAGGCACATATACTCCCAGAGGTGAGGAGGTTAAGTCATGACTGTCAGTGCATACTGTCTGGCATTGCCCTGATGTAGCCTACAGTGTTAAGGAGAGCTGGTAGTTTTGGAGCCCTATTAGTGAGAGCTGAAGTTAGGGCTAAACAAGGCTCTGAGAAGAAAGAAAGTGCAGAAAAGGGAACTCCAGCCAAGGCTGCCTGGCTGTAGTTGTGCATGAGGTTAGTAGGATGGAGAATGGTGCTCAGATTTAGATAAACTGGAGCTGCTTCCCTTTCCCCACTGCTCACTGGGTAGTCCCAAATTCCAGGCAGTGTAGGGACAGCTCTGCTTTGCTTGGGTAATTTCCCTATCCTTCCTTGCAGATGCCAGCAGAGTTCTAACTCTTGTTCTTCTATACAGACACATTCTGCATACACAGGCATTGTGTATCCCCTGGAGAGATGAATTGCTACATAGCTGATATCAACATGGCAATATTTTCTTCTTTTTAGCTATGAAACCTGGGAAAGTGCAGATACAACAAGGGAACATAAAGGCTTCAGGGAGCATGGTGTATAGGAAGCGATCTGACCAGACTTCTGAAGTAAACACAAGCTGGTTCACACCATCTGACAACAGTTTCAGGTTCAGCTTTACACCTGAAACAGAAACACAAACAACCAATGAAACTGTGGAAGAGGCACACAAGACAGATGGCTCTGAACAGAAGCAGATTGGTACCAGTTCCTCAGAAGTAAAAGATTTGAATGGAACATTAAACTTCTCTGTCTCTGGACAAGGACCTGAGTTTGCTTTCAATTTTGTCATCTCAGATAAAGATAATTCTGTTCTTCCATCTGTTTCTACAGGGCCCACCATGGAGAGTATAACACAAGATAAGACATTAAGTGGCTCACCCTCCACAGGTCCAGCACTGACACTAGAGTGTTCAATCCTGCCAGACACTAATATTTCCCAAACTATGGACAGCATGGATGTAAAAGAAGGGAGAGACCTTCCCATATTAAAGACCCCAAAACTAGAGACAGTCTCCATAAGTGAGACTAAGGCAGAGAAAACAGCAGTAGATGGAACATCCAAGAAGGAAAAAAAGAAAAAGAAACCATCAAACAATAAGAAAGAATTGGAAGAGAATGAGGTCAGTAAGAAGGTGAAGATGGGAGCCAGTAGTCATCAGGATAGTAGTGCACCTCCCCAGGACCAGACCCCACAGGTATGTGAGTTTCTGACTAATAAGAAAACAAAATCTCACTATTAGCACTACCAGCCCTTCCTCAGTTGGGAGAGTTAGTGTATTTTCTAAATCAGTGCATTAGCAGGCTTATTTCAAGAAGTTTACTGTGTTCATTTCCTGAGCTTATTTGGATCAGAATCCTAACAAGATGGGCAGCTCACCTCGGCCCTCCTCCTTAATGTATGACTGGACACAAAAAGAATTCTGCAGGCATTCAGTGACTTAGACCTCTTTATGTCTTTGGATGGTAGATAGTATTAATTTGGAATAAAAGGCAAAATTAAGATGCAGGGAAATTAACTGACTTTCTCAAGATCCAAGTTGTGGTAAGGCCAGGTATAAAGTCCTGAAAAACACTGGTGTCCCACTCCTGGTCACAGAACGTAAGTGAAGGCACCAGATACATTGGTGTATTTGGTAGCTATGTTGGTCTGAGACAAGAAGACATACAAAAAACTAGAACTCTTGGTTCCAAAATGATACCATTGGGACATTTGTTAATGGGCCATCAAAGCACACCTCACTGTTTTCAAATGCTATGCTAAAGTTCAGGGTCTCTGTTACGTTTTTCTGAATTTGGTGCTAAATCAGAAACCCTGGAATGGGGAGCCTTCAACAGGGAAAGCAGCAGGTGCATGCTTCCACTTGTGCTAGGCTTGTTGGGGTCATGAGAGTCACCTCACGCTGGGTGAGAGGTGTGTTCTGTCCATCAGGCCTTTTAGTTCTAAAAGCTTGCAAGTGCACTGTGTTTCTTGTGACTTGGGCAGCTGACAGTTAGGAACTGGACTGAACCCATAAGCTAACATCAGAAGAGGCAACAGCCACCCTAGACCAGACCCATCTCTGAGGTGAAAAGCTCCCACAGACATAATCCTGTCTCCCAAGGCATCCTTCCTTCAGATATGAGGTCCCAGTGAAATAAGGACCTGAAGGGAATTTATAGCCCATCTAGTCAGAACAATGAGGTGCTGACAACAGAGAAAATATTGCAGGATCTAAATAATGGCAGAAGGCAGGAGGCAAATGAGCTACTCCCTCTGTCAGTCCCCAGTGTGTTGACTAAGCTAGATAGTACTTGCTTTCTTCCACCTTCACCTTTGCTGGCACTGCCTGGCTAATCCTTTTATACCGGGGTGGGCAAAATATGGGCCGCGGGCTGAATCCAGCCTGCGAGGCCATTCTATCCGGCCTGCAGGCCCCCTAAAAAAATTTAGAAAATTTAATATTTGTCTGCCCTTGGTTCCTATCAAAAGTGGCAGGAGCCAAGGGCAGTAGGACCCAGGGGAAACCCTG